ACACCCTCCGATTCCTGATCTTTCCTCTCAGTAGTTTTCTGTCTACTGACCCACCCTGACACTGCTCCATGGCTATAAATCTCGACTTTTCCATGTTGTGCTCATAACTGAGCCTAGTTTGTATCACCTCTTTCCCTATTGCAATAGTTCCTGATAGAATCTGTTTTTATTGCTTTAACTACTATCTGGCTCTAGTTTTAATTTAATAATTTTCATAAACACAAAACACACACACACATGCACAACCACACACAAACGTATGCACACACATGTACACATGCACATGAACACACGCCCCACAGCTCCAGATGCTCCCCGCAGGTTGGGCTCAGGAGCGCTCCTTGGGAAAGAACTTGGAAGCAGCCCCACCCCAAGCAGCAGCAGCTCTGACTCTTGCACAGGAGGGACATGAGCAGTACCCACCGCTCTCCGTTGAGGCCATGTCAGACTTGGAGGGCTCGGCCACCAGCCTCTGGATCTGGGCCAGCGTGCTGTAGGCTTCCTCCATCTCCCTCCAAATGAGAAACACGTCCTCTCGAACCCCGGCTCCTGGGTGGGAAACACAGTGTGAGTGGCTGGCCGTGGCTGGCAGTCCAAGCAGGCCTGGCACTCCCCGGCCAGTTTTCTAGAACATTTTGAACATCAAATTCCATGTGCCAAGCAGAACATAAACAGACTCATAGATACAAAGAACAGACTGATGGTTGTCAGAGCAGAGAGTGGTTGGGGGCTGGCTGAAAAAGGTGACGGGATTGAGAAGTACAGGTTGGTAGTTACAAAACAGTCATGGGGATATAAAGTACAGCATAGAGAATATAGTCAATAATATTGTAATAATTGTGTCTGGTGGCATGTGGGTACTGGAAGTCTCAGAGGGAACACTTTACAAAGTATATGACTGTCTAACCAATATGCCATACATTTGAAACTAATACAGAGTAATACTGAATATAAACTGTAATTGAAAAAAATACAAATAAAATTTGTAGAAAAGAAGTACTAACTAACAGTTATAGGATAGTCACGGGTATATAAAGTAAGCATAGGAAATATAGTCAATAATATTGTAACAACTATGTAGGTATCAGATGGGTACTAGATTTATCAGCGTGATCACTACATAAGTTATATAAATGTCAAATCATTGTGCTATACATCTGAAACTAAAATAATATTGTACATCAAATGTAATTGAAAAGTTAAAGTTATTTTTTTTTAATTTCCATGTTTCCTCAATAACCTCTGGGAAGCAGAACTGAAATCCCTACGGAAGTGCTGTCATCTCAAGAAACTATGGCTGCATGTCTGGGCTGTAATAAATCATAAATCTTTATAAAGTAAGTATTTGCAGCAGCCCAGATATTTTAAGGTGAATTACTGATAATACTCAAATATGATGAAGAATAAAAATATTCAAAGGCACCTAATAAATGCCAGGTGGATGTAGCGAGGAAGGGAAAGGTAATGGTTTAGGAAAGTGACGACCCTTATCCTTTCTTCACTTAGCTGAGCCTGCCTTCTTTGAAAGCACCTTCCCAAGTCTTTCTTTTCCCCTGAAGTTACTATGAGTCTTTGGCCTCCTTTTCTGGACCTCTGCTGTCTCAGTTTAGGGCTAGGTTAGACCGTATGACTTTGTTTTTCATGGCATGGCTCATTTACATCACTCTCACAATAATCAATCACAGTGCGTCTACGGTAAGACATCCACGGCTGGGACAGAGGCTCTGCCCTCACGTAGGTTCTGCTCTAACACATCAGCAGTTTCTGGAGGTTAAGGAGGTGTAAGAGCAGGAAGGATAGAGGTGTGACTGAAGTACAACAGGAGAGATCCTGTGGGGTACCTTGACTGTACCAATGTCAGTGTCCCAGCTGTGATATTGTCCTATAGTTTTACAAAGGGAATCTGGGTAAAGGGACATGGATCTCTGTATTACTTCCTACAACTGTACACGCACCTACAATGATCGCCACCCCTCTGCGCTGTGTGCACATGGCCAGTGGTGACGGCAAAAGGCTACCATGAGTGGAAGATGCCACCCACCCACTTTCAGTGGTATCTGTGGCCCAACCACCAGCCTGGCACTGCTCAAGGCACCTGGGCTACAGGGGAGTCCCTGGCCCTGTGCTGCTTTAAACAGTTGTATAGACAAGAATTTAGCAGTTGTATTGCTCATTTTAAAATTCCATTCCAATAAAAAAGTTGTGTGGGTCTGTTTAATCCTCACTCAGGGATATGTTTTTTTATTGATTTTAGAGAGAGGAAAGGAGAGAGAGAAACATTGATTGGTTGCTTCCTATATGTGCCCCAACTGGGGACAGAACCTAAAATTAGGTATGTGCCCTGACCAGGAATTGAACCCACAACCTTTTGGTGTATGGGACGATACTCCAACCAACTGACCCACCCGGCCAGGGCTGAAAATGTTATTTAAAACAAACAAACACACAACAACTCTACTTCACAGACTGTATACAGTTGGCTCAGAGAACACTGATGATGTTATCATGGAAGCAAGCTGGGTCCAAGTTCCGTAATGATAAGTACTTTTTGGGGGGTGTTTGCTATGTGCCTGACGTTATGCTTGGGCCTTCCTAGACATTTTCTTGTTTCTTTTCACCACAACTCTGCGAGCAAATTCTATTCTTGTTCCCATTTACAGCTGTGTAAACTGAGGCAGAGTGAGCTGTCCAAGGTCACACTGTCAGTGAGTGGCAGAGCAGAGTCAAATCCAGGTTGGTGTGACTACACCAGCTCAGCCGCTAGGACTAGTTGCCCTGATAAAGTGGCGAGTGGTTAACAAAGGGCCCTGCA